TTTAAAAACAAACGAGCAAACTGACGTTTGTCAGAAAACAAGCAGATCCAATCTTGATACCCGATCCAGGTTGGAACTGAATAATAAACGAATTCGCTATTAAATTGAAATGCATTTAGTATTGGTTCAGCCCCTTAACGCAAATCATTCAAAACTATGATGCTTTGAGTAGACAAACGAGTTGGAAGCATAGCAATTGCTATCAGAAGTGGTCCGAACATTGGTAAAGGATGGAAACCGTAGATTTTTCTACTTCTTGGTGGAGGAAGCTTCCTCTACCAACAAATAATTTTTGTATCCATGGCTGTTCATGGCTATTAAATATGGAAATGTTAACAATTGAATTAATAATAAAATCTAAACCATTTGCAAGTCATTCTATCCTTAAATTGTTGTCCTCTGAGCCCTGTATGTTTCACAGACAATTTTCAAATAAATATCATCCTTTATTTGGAGGACAGTCATATGGATGGTCATCAGTTGATGACGAATTCAACCATAAGGAAATCATCCGAAATTCGACAGCATATTGTTAAAGGGCCCGAGCAATACTATAATCAGTCGAAGTATTCCGTTCAGTGTATCCGAGCGTGGTTACTTCTGACAGACAAGAAGTAAAATTTTGACAACCTTGGTTATGTTCTTCTCGAAAACCGGTCGATCAACAGCACAGGGATTTTCGAACATAGAGAATAACTTTCGAAATGTCACTTTTAACCACGAGTTAAATTTAACTCGGCAAATGGTTCACAGCCTTAAGCTCTGAACCATTTGGCGATTTTTTTTTATTTTTGGATAAAATTTGACAGATGGAAAGTTATTGATTCAGGCTGTGTTCCATTTGGTGAATTTTCACTTAAGGGGTTACGCCACCCTAGGATTTTCAAAACATCGATAGGTACTCTGAAGTGTCAAGAATAAGGGACAATTGGTTCCATGTCGAACAAATTAAAATTCCGAAAGTTATAAGCGAAATTACAAAACTTTGCATCACGCACCTGAATCTGTACCTCAAACTTCAACCGCATTTTTTTTTTCGATACAACATTTCTCTCCGCGGCCCACACGATAGCATCTGCAATTTTGACTCAATTTGATCTAGATTGATAAATTTTTTCATCTCCGTATGTACTTCTCTAGGTATTCTTATATAAAATAAGAAAAACCACTCGTTTTTGTTCTAGGTTCATATTTACGACGAAGAAAGTGTGGGCCGCGTAACACTACACGGGAAGCAGTGCCAGGAACTCGCAGTGCTGCCAACTGCCACACATGGTTTACCCTTATGAAAAAATACTGTAAGCACCCCTAATTGTGTGTACTATAAGCCCATATAAGTTAATTTAGTATGTGACTTTATTAAATAACAAAAAAAAATTAATGAAGTGCATTTTTCTGTATTCTAGGGTGGCGTAACTCCTTAAATTTGACACTTCTAAAATAAATTTAGATGTTCGAAAATCCCTCTGTTGTTGATCGGCCGATTTTCGAGAAGGTATGCATCAAAATTGATTAAATTTTAGAAATAAGTCCGGTACAATAGCAGGTTTATTGAAAATTTTCCATACGTCAAATATAAGTAAAAATTCGTCAAATGGAACACAGGCTAACCCTGCTACCCGAGCAGGGTTATTTCTGACAAACAAGAAGTTAAATTTTGACAACCGTGGCTCGAAAACCGGTCGATCGATAGCACGGAGATTTTCGAACATAGAAAATAACTTTCGAAATGTCACTTTTAATCACGAGTTAAATTTAACACAGCAAATGGTTTACAACCTTAGCTCCATGCTGTCGTTCGACCGGTTTTCGAGCCACGGTTGTCAAAATTTAACTTCTTGTCTGTCAGAAATAACCATCTGTCAAATTTTAACCGAAAGTTAAAATACTCCACCAAATGGTTCAGAGCCTTAGGCTGTGAACCATTTGCCGAGTTAAATTTAACTCGTGGTTAAAAGTGACATTTCGAAAGTTATTTCTTATGTTCGAAAATCCCCGTGCTGTCGATCGACCGGTTTTTGAGCCACGGTCGTCAAAATTTAACTTCTTGTCTGTCGGAAGTAACCACGCCCGGATAGCAGGGTTAATCGATAACTTTTCATCTGTCAAATTTTAACCAAAAGTTAAAATAATCCACCAAATGGTGCAGAGCCTTAGAAGTTTGAGTGTTGAAATGGTTAATGGTCTTGACGAAGCAGATACTGCCAACTAAAGTTCCGGTGAATTTTTATGACTTCTCTATGGAGTAGGTTCAAGTCGATTCTAATGGTGCTTACAACAAAAATTCCAGTAGATTTGTATGAATTCACAACGGAGCTGGTTGCAGTCGATTCGGGTGGAGATTCCCTATGAATTTATCTCAATTCTTTAGCGCAAGTGAATTTTTCTGACGTTGTGAACGGAGTTCAAGTCGGTTTCGGTGGAGATTCTAGTCAATTCTGGTAGAGATTTCGGATGCAACCAACGAAAGTTCCTGTAGATTTTTCTGAAGTTATCGGCGGAAGAGTTTCAATCAATTTCGGTGACGATTTTCGATGCTGCTATCGAAAGACCCAATAGATTTTTCTGACATTGACGAAGGAGGTTCTAGTCGATTCCAGAGGAGATTTTCGATGCTGCCAACGAAATATCTGTTCGGGGTTTCTGCTCCGTCGAGGATGCAGCAAAATCAAACCGATCTTTCGTTGGCAGCATCGAAAACCTCCACTGGAACCGATTTTAATCTGCTCCATTGGGGATTGAGAAAAATCCACTGAAACTTTCGTTAGCAACATCGAAAATCTCCACCGAAATTGAATTGGACCTCCGCCGTATACATCATTAGAAACTTCCGCGGAAATCCACTGTAACATTTCGTAGGCAGTATCGAAAATCTTCACCGAAATCGTCGGAAACGCCAGCAAACTCCTTAAAATTGTCTGGAACTCGCCCTGGAACGTTTTTTATCAGCGTGATTTTTTTGTCTTTTTTGTACATGCACGGCGAATGAGAACGACTCAAATTTAAGTTTAGTTCACTCATAATCGCCAAAAGTGCAGGAACTCAGCAATGAGTAAAATTTGTCCCATGGTTTCCTGTGGAAAACCTTAAAAATCTGCTGGAAAATGAGGAAATTGACGAAAATTTTATTCAGTCTCGGAGTAGTACCCAGGCATGGAAAATCATTTGCATTCATTTACATTCATTTGCCCCTAACTTTTTTCATCATTAGAATTTCGCAAAATTATGTATGGAGCTTTTGAAGGGTTTTGTTATAAGCTACAAGTTTTGTTATCATTTCAAATCTGTATCTCTTATGCAAGACGAACCAGAGCGAACAGAAGCCACTAATGTTTTTCAGTGAATGTATTTTACATTCACTGAAAAACAGGTACAAGTTCTGCCCGGTCTAATTGGTGATGCATAAGAGATACAGATTTGTGTTATGAACAAAAGTTGTAGCTAATAACAAAACCTACTAAAGCTTTATACATCATTTTGCGGAATGCTGTTGATGAAAAAAGTTAGAGGCAAATGAATGTAAATGAATGCATGAAATGAATGTAAATGATTTTCCATGCCTGGTAGTACCAATAGACTGAGTAAATCCAATCTTTACTTTTCTCAAATTCGCGATTTTTTTCTCTGGAAAATCCTGGAAAAACCTGGGAAAACATGAGGCAAATTAACTCATCGCTGAGTTCCTGCACTTTTGGCGGTTATGAGTGAACTTAACTCAAATTTGAGTCGTTCTCATTCGCCGTGTGTCAAAATAAACACTGAAGTAAAAAGACGCTCATCGTGCTTTCTGACAGCTGGTGTAATAAATATCGCTTAACTTTTTAATCCCGAGTAATCATTCCTAATATTTTAAACATATCAAGTCAAGAACAACATGTGAAAAGGGCATACAAGCTTTTTGTAAACAAACATTCTTATGTCCTTTTCTCGCCACTCATATGACACCAACGCAAACCATCAACATCGCCGACTAGGGGAAGGTTTCCCCTTCCCGATGATGTTGTTAGTTTGCGTGGGCGACTCTCAGTTGGCGAGAAGAGGGCCTACAAAAGGTTTGTTTACAAAAAGCTTGTATGCCCTTTTCACATGTGGCTCTTGAAATAGATATTACAATGTCTTCCCTGTTGCCAGTTCCCCGCATAAACGCGAACCATCACATGACCTTACCGATAATGGTTATAAATTGTTTATAATCCCTGCTAAACTTCAACTGAAATGGTTATGGAACCTTACATGAACGTTTGTGTGATAAAGTTTTAACCTTATGTGTTATGGTTTTTTGGAAGCGGACCTTACAAATAATGGGTTGTTAAGAACCATTACCATTCCAAATTCTTGTTTTCTCCATACATTTTCGGAAAGAGAACTATATTAGAACGTTTTTACTTATGGTTTGAGAACATTAATGGTTATGGTTATGGTAGTCAGTAAGGTCCATTAATGGTTTTGTATTATCACTCAACTTTACGTGAAATATACCGTGAATTGGTAATCAGTAATTTACAGGCAACCAATTCGCGATATATTCCACATAAAGTTGACGATGTTACAAAACTATTCATGGACCTTACTGGTTACCATAACCATTACCATTAATGTTCTTAAACCATAAGTTAAAAGGTTTTAGTAAAGTTTTCTTTCCGAAAATGTATGGAGAAAACAAGAATTTGGAATGGTAATGGTTCTTAACAACCCATTATTTGTAAGGTCCACTTCCAAAAAACTATAATACTTAAGGTTAAAACTTTATCATTAAACGTTCATGTAAAGTTCCATAACCATTTCAGTTGAAGTTTAGCAGGGATTATAAACAATTTATAACCATTATCGGTAAGGTCAATTTATGGTTCGCGCTTATGCGGGTCAATACGGTTGGGTTGATTTTCACCCGTACCCTGCCGAAAATTTGACAGCTCCCTCCCCTTCGTAAACACTCTTATTCCTATTGCTGCAAAATGGTTCAAATAATCCATCCTACCGGTCAAAGACAACCAACTTACCTGGAGTGAACTTGACGCCGAACCACACGGACATGGGCATGCATCCGTGATGAATGACGTGCAGCGTCGACACTTGACTAGTTTTTTTACGCATCACGAAGAAGAACTGCGCATGTTGCAAGTTGATTTATCGTTTGGCAGTTGTTGTCGTTGTTGATCCCGTCGTCATCGGATGCATGTGGAATATAATATTGGAGGGATAAATAAAAACAAAGACCGATTAGCTAACATATCAGATACATTTTACGGGCTGTTATGATGATGATGATAGATCTGCCTGTTCAAAGTGGTCAATTATCGGAACCGGCTTGACCTATATCGATCGATTCTCGGCGCCAGCAATGCCAACCAAATGTTGACGATCATGACATTCTAGAAACGCTACCAAGCGTTTGCCCGGAGTAATTAAGTGTTTATCAGAATTGCAAGTTGAAGTGTATTAAAAAAAAAAATGACGGTTGTCAACATTGGTGCGACCAACGGGCGATAAATCTCGGTGTTTAGAGCCGCACGCGTTACATATTGTAGTCACATGCTGTCAAGCCGGTACCAGCGGATGATCGCTGTTCGCATACAGATGTTAATTGTACACATAAAAAGTATTCATTTGGCGAGATACGAGTCAACGCCGAGCGAGAGGCGAAAGATTCATTTCAGCGATTGGGAGGGGAGTCTAGATGGAGTGCAAATTGCAAACCGTTTGTGTGCCAAACCGTCAAATGAGATCGGTCACGAAACGATCTTGGTTTTTTTTTTGTGATTTCAAAGTTCAATTTCGGCTTGAGACAAAAAAAAAACGACAACACTGCTAGCTGTCAAAATTCTGCACTGAAACGAAACGAGTGCTGATTTGCAGTTGGACTAACAACGTATTCAAGTGCTAATCAAGGATTCCACAACAGGTAGCAAATGTAACTCCAAGACCGTGAATGTCAAGAGCAACTCCACCAACCGCAATATCATCCAATTGGGTTGGCAAAGACGCGCAAAGCCGAAAGCTGACGGCCAAACAATCGAAAAAAAAACGCTAAGGCGTCAATTCAATCGAATCGAATTGCTCTCACAACATGGATTCAATGGAATTGGCATCATAAATATTTGCTCGCAAGGCCCCCTTGAACGAAGGTAGGCAATTCAAAACATGAGATCAAGCACCTGTGTAGTAGGCTAGTGGCGGGTACTTGAGAGGAGGCAGGAGGCGGAACCGCAAACTTTGGAGGTCAAAATCCGAGGGAAGGAAGTTTCGAAGTCTTTTGAAAATCCATCATCTTTAAATAGACATTTACGCAAATTGTCGTCGCCGCCACTGTCGGCTTATGTTGGTGGATTTTATGAATTTAGCGTATTTGCACACTAGGTGCTAATAGGGTGGATAATTGCCTCGCGGTAGCCACTGAGCAAATGGAAATAATTTTGAGGAAGCCGGATCGGTCTTCTGCTTGACGATTTGATGGACAGCAGGTTGGTCAAGAAGGGGACAAATTGCTATGCTGTGGTTGGCTGTCAGTCAGTCATGTCGATGGACATGTAATTTATTGCTGTAAGTGCTCACCGACGGAATTGGACTCTAATAGATGGGTTCGGCGGAGTTCTGGGAATCGGTTTGAACAAAGCAGAGGGAGTTCGATTTGTTTTGCTTCGATGTTGTTGTTGTTGTTGTTGTGATGGTTGTCGCCTATTAGTGCTGGAAGGTGTCATAATCGATAGTGCTGCGGTGAGTGGTTTAATGAACAATAAGTTATCGATTTTTTTCATTTAAATTGGCAGTAGGGGATGTAGCAGTAGCAATCTAATTCTTCTAATAAAAGGGGGTGTTTTGGGTAATGATCATACGATAATAAGTAAAAGTTGATAGTACGCCTATGACTGGATCATACTTTGGCAATCAAACATGCTATCAGTGAAAATTTTAACGTCGGAAATGGCAATTTTGAACTTAAACTGACCCGACAAATGAACTAATAATTTTAAAGATTTACCCTATATTGAAATTAGACAAGAACTAACTGCTGAGCAAAACGGTTTCGATGAGCGGCTCCGAACTGCTCACCTCGCCGAAGCACCCTGACTTTTCTATTGCGCTTCGGTTCAGTTTGTTGATTTACGAAAGGTAACGCCCTGATCAGCAGACGGGACATCGAATTAGTATTTGGAGGTTGACAAAAAGGGTGCTGTTTCCAATGAGCTCCGAACTGCTCAGTTCACTGAACCGATTTTTTTTCGCTTGATTAAACCCGGTTGAGTTTATAATTTTAATATTTTTTAATGCGGAATACGCTCCAGGAAAATACATATCACTGACAGGCAGATCTCATCAAACATAAATGATTAAACTAATAAAACCAAACACTTACCGTATCAAAGAACTCTGTGAACTTTGAGAAGTAGTACCACCAACACGCATGCACCATCTGCTCGTCGAGTCACAACGGTTGATCCAAGGGCCGGTCACGGGTCGTCACGGCAACGAGTAGCGATTGGCATTAACAGTTTTCGGTGATGGAAATCGATGGGATTGTATTGTTTTTTTTTTGGGTAAGAACAGTGAAAAAAGGAGTAAAGACAAAAACACCAACATTAGATTCAGTTTTTCGGTTTGATCACGGTTCAGCGATGGTCAACAATGGGATAGGATGCCTAACCTAAAATCTGCTCGAACGAAGAACTTACTACACGTTACACTGCAAATGGGGGATAAACACTATCTGACTAGAAAAAAAGCTTTCAGGGAAAAAGCTATCTAAACGAAACTAATCAGACAAATATGGATAATAGGATTTTTTTTTTTGCATGGATTGAAGGATCTTGGTTATTGATTGATTTTGAACAGCAGGGATTAATCACACAAACATTAACATAAAGGAGACGAGGGGTGTCACGGAAAGACGTAGAAACAGTTGAGAAGGGATGCGTTCTCTCGCTTTCGATTAGTGTTAGTTTCAGCAAGCAACAAGTCTGTTTAGTACCGTAACCCATCAACAATAAGGTGAGAATTTGGATCAGTGTTAGTATTTAGTTGAGGTTAGGATTCCAAGAACCAACAATGGCGATTAGCTTGAAAGTGAACACAATGGAAATATCAACACACGTGATGAAACGGATACGATTCGGATGGTCATAAGAGCGGTCGATTTTGACATTCGAACTACGCTACGCGTGATTTTACCTCGGGTTGCTTTAATGACAATGGAACAGAAAAAGGAAGAGGCAGTGAGTGAACAGTGATACAGAGTGGGAGTAGAAGATTAATCACATTTGGGTTGGAGTTTAGACAGAGTGTAAAGAATGGAGTTTTTGCACTGGTAGGTGAGTGAGGGTGTGAGTGTGTGAAGCACAAACACAGTTACGAGGGGGCAAACATGCATCATTCGTTTTTGGCAGACGGAAAATGGCGGTTGATTTCTCACTATGTGTAGTAGTACTTAACCTACCCTTAACGTACTAGGGTGGTTACTATAGTCGACTGGCTGACATCGGAAGTCATAATGTCCCGTTAGCCAACCCGATATACCGATCTGTGGATTGCAATAGAAAGAGAAGAGTTCCAAGTTAGTGCCGGTCGAAAGTTTTCTGATTTGGCTTACTCGCGGGTCGGAAATGTTGCGTTCCGGTTTGTTCCCGGAGTCGCCTGCAAAACGGTTCCACTCGATTGGGCTTCTGATTTGCCGCAAGAATGGAACCATTTTGCTCGACGAGCCGGTTCGCGAATTTTATGAAGCTGTCATGAATGATTTGTTGTTCCAATGGTAGAGTACGAATTTTACGTCCGAAGAAAAGGGAGTTGTTCTGTGTGCGTGTGTCAAACGGTAGTCACGGTCGCAGTCTGCACATTCGTCAACGGAGAACCTTCTGATGACCATTTTTCTCAGCTGTTTTTTTCCCGATAGCATATATATATAAGGGAGTCCCAGTTGTGCTTGGGAGTTACTCCTTTTACCAATTATACCAGAAAAAACGAACGACGACGAACCCTCCCAAAGAGAACTGCTGATTTCGTTCAGTGTTTGCATGCTTCTCTTTTGCGGGAACGGGTCACCTGTTGATCATCACTTGAGTCAGTTATGCGATTATAGGCAGTCTACTTAAACTTTAGTGAGATCCAAACACAATGAACAACGGGGTTGTAGTTTAGAAGTTATAGTCGGTGGAACCACAGCACTGTCATTATGTTTGGACCTCTGGAGACGAACAATTTGTAATGATTAGTGTGTAATGTTACTTACCTAATATGGAACAGCAGCAGTCATTTGAGATAGTGGTTGGGCGGTAGGTAGGACATGTAATTTTTTTAGTAATTTTGTGCTTATTCTATATTATATTTTGTCTTCCTACTCACATAGAAAATCATTGGCCATATTTCGATCTAATGAATAATACAAATTCTAACAAAAATATTCAACTTTCGCTAAGACTGAAGCAAATATATAAAAGCACTGGTCGCGGTAGAAAGCGAATCAAGTTAATCGAGAACTGGCCTTTGTCGTTTTTAGACGAACATTTCAAAATATCCTATATGCTTTGATCGATTCTCTTCATCGACTTTCTCTTTCGTTAATAGGGAGAGTTAATCTCACTTGTTTTACATCTGGCAGTATCTGGAAAAGCAGATTTCAGCAAATTCGTAGAGTTATTCCCTATCGATCGGTGTATTTGGATTTCAATTGCATCCATAGATGACAAAGTTACTAGTGTTCAAAACCTAACTCGTTTTGTGACTGTCGCATTTTTAGATTTTCGATTTACCCCCTAATAAAATCAATGTAAATCTGAGGAGAATAACTATTGTATTTTTAGGAGAATTGAAAAGGAATTACAGTGTGAATTCAAGAGAAATGCTGACAACCAAACATGGTTTCTAATCTAGTCTAAGCTAGTCTACACCTACTAGGTGAGGAGAGTTTTAATTAAAATTTTGAGGTAATTTTCTAAGGGATGTAATTATCCCAATAATGTTTTCCCTTCATGATTTTTTCTGCTCAATATTATCTTCAATCACACTTACAAGAATTAGGCTTCTGAATTATTGGATGTCATTGTTCTGATTTCTGTGACGTCAAAGTCCATCATCCATCGCGTGTTTACATCTCATTAGGTTGTGATGAGGGATACCAGATTTGTGGACATGTCTTCATTTGAAGACATTTGAATTTCTGTGAAGACATTTTGAAGACTTTTGATATTTGGTGAAGACTTTTGAAGACATATGAAGATAAATTAAAGTAAATTTTGACTTCACCTTTCAAACATCTTGAAAAAGGCAAACAGCAAAAATCTAGCCAGGTTTCCAAATAGACGGGTGAAAATTTCTAATAAAGTAATCATACTTTAAAGAAAAGGAACTAGCATTGAAAAATCATTTCATAGTCTAAGAATCTTGAAAAAAAAATTGGTCTTCATTTTCTTAATTTTTGCTCAGTTCGGAATACAGCAAATTTCTTTAAATCTCAGATCTCAAGAAACTAACATGTCCTCAAGTTAAAAAAAAAGTCTCAGATGTTTGATTTATTTTATGTAAGAAATTAAAAGTCTTGCACTCCGAATATTCGAGTCTCAGAGTCTTGATGACGTGAAATATTAGAATCTCGTATTAATATGAGAATTTCCACAAACTTTTAAAAGTCTCGAAATCTTGAAAACTTTCTCAAATCTGGAACCTGATTTTTTGTTAGGAATTTCCGAGAATTTTCTTTGAATGTACCAATGCCAATTGGTATTTTTTCAAAGTTCATATTGGTACGTACGCTGGTAACTATTCCCTTATTATTTTTATCAATGAATGCTAGGAATTCACTGCAAACTCTTGGAATTTTCCTTAGCGTTTCATTAGTTTTCTCCCAAAACTTCAATGGGACTACTCCTTGAAATATGTTTGATGCACAGGAACTCTTAGAAATTATCCTTAGAATTCTCATGGAATTCTTCTTTGAGTTCCGTTGCAATTCCCCTAGGGATTGCGTTAAAATACTCTACCAAATTGCTCAGAAGCTCTCTTTTCAATTTCCTGTGGTATTTTGCTCAATATTCTTTGAGATACTCCTTAGAATTCATCTGAAATTATCCAACATATCTCCTCAGTATTATTCTGGAATTCTACCCAGAACTTCCTTGGAATTCTCTTTAGAAAATACTTTAAGTTTATTCCATTAATTTGAATTTGAATGCTTCTCATAATGATTTTGAAATTATAGTCCGCACTCTTTCGACTTCTTTGGAAATACGCTTAAAATTCAGCCTAAATTCTCCTCATAATTCCCATTCTGTTATCGCGAGGCAATTAATTTAGGATCAAGTCTAGATGCCAACCCGCTTAGTTGCATAAGTCTTAGCTGATGTCGATACCAAGGCCAACGAAAAGAAATGAAAAGTAGGGCAAAACAACGACAGCTCGATTACATAATCTGACTGCACTATTTACTTAGGCTCTGAACCATTTGGTGGATTATTTTAACTTCTGGTTAAAATTTGACAGATGGAAAGTTATCGATTAACCCTGCTATTCAAGCGTGGTTACTTTTGACAGACAAGAAGTTAAATTTTGACAACTGTGGCTCGAAAACCGCTCGGATCGACAGCACGGGGATTTTCGAACATAGAAAATAACTTTCGAAATGTCATTTTTAACCACGAGTTAAATTTAACTCAGCAAATGATTCACTTAGTATGCATATGCGCTCGAGTAGGATAAACACGCCCACACGCGACATATCTGCGCATCCCTCTTTGTTCATCCCTCTTCACGAAGTATAATAATCTATATTTAAACGATACAAATGTTCGAATTCTTATTTGTAGAGCCATATCGGATGTGAGTTACAAAAAGCAATAAATTCATGAGCATATTGAGAAATATCGGTTCCGAAAAGGAAATAGTACATAAGGACTCGAAAACATAGATTAGCCCTTTTTAAGCCCGCGTAGAAATTCGATTATAACTAGCAGAAATTAGCTTAAAGTTCGGTATTGAGAGGGACATGGAAAATTCCATAGTGATTTTATATAATTATAGATCGCTAATGTAACACATAAATTGTAAACCTTCTACAGAATGGAAAATAAAACTAAGTTCGTAGGTTACTCCAGATTCTTCTCATTTTTGAATCCGAAAGAACTTTCGGCCTAGAAGCGAAAACTTCTCTCCTTAACCGGAGAAAAAAGTAGCTCCTAGAATCAAAAAACAGTGTCTGACCTAGTAAGCGAAAGACTCTCCCTATCCGGAGAAGAAAGTAGCTTTTGGCCGCTACATTTCATGGTGGCTCCAGAGAGGAATCTTGGAGGACATTTTCCGACGCTTAGAACCCGCGTACTTCCAGTCAGTCGAAATCTGACTGCAAAGAACTGCAAGTTGGCAGTACCAGTGGGCCTTTGTGCCAAATAGTGTGGCGTTAAGCCAAATAGCAATCAGTCGAAATCT